GATTCCAGTTCATCATATATCTTAAACTCGCCTCTTCATTTGGCGCTTCCGGTTCATCATAATATATCTTAAGCACACTCCTCATGTGGTGATTCCGGTTCATCACGTATCTTAAACACGACTCCGTCCCGGTTCATCATATATCTTAAACAGGCTCCCTCATTTGGCGATCCAGGTTCATCACGTTTCTTAAACACGCCCCCTCGTCACACATCTCAACCACACTCCCTCATTTGGCGATTCTGGTTCATCATATACCTCATTTGCTCAACCCGCCGCCAACTTTTCTGTCGCAGGCTGTGGCCCGCGACCCGGGCGACCCGCTGCAGGGCTAACAAAGGGGACCGGATCGGCTTGCGCACCGACAGGACCTACCAAGGATCCCAGACCAGAGCCAACCTCAGAAAAAACTACCCGGGACCCATTTAAAACACACAACACATAGAAGGCTAACAAATTTGATTCCCAAACCTTTTGAGTTCGGTCGGGTCCCTTATCCAGACCTTAAGCTCTAATACCTTTGTGTTGCGCAGCGTTTAGGTAAGGCACCATGTACAGCGCCGCCGGGCTTTCCGGGGAGTCGAGGTCCTTACGATCAAGCGCCACACCTCGGTTTAGGGCTGCTTAGTGTGTTGAAGGGATGAAGGGTGTTGAGAGTTCTGGGCTTTTCGGGCGTTTTCTTTACCTACGTTTTTGGTGCGGAGGGGTTGAAATTCGTGTGCTTGCTCTGCTGTTGCTTGTTAGCTCTTTGGCGTTCATGTCCGTTGCGCTTGATTATTTTGGGAGCTGTTCAAACCTGACGACCCAGACAGGGTTTAGCCTCGATATGTGTTTTTGTTGTCTTGGAGCCGTCGAAACGCAGGGTCTCTTTCAATACGTCTTATGGCAGATGGCTATCCCTTAAAACCCTAAACCCTAAACCCCTAAACCCTAAACCCTAAACCCTAAACCCTAAACCCTAAACCCTAAACCCTAAACGCCTAAACCCTAAACCCCTAAACCCTAAACCGTCTCGAGCCCAAGGTTGTGGTCCTGAGAGGTTTTGGGGTTGAAGGTGTTGGGTCTCCGGCTCAGGGGCTGTGGCCAGTGTAGGGCTTACCTTAAGAACCTAAAACCTACTTTTTTGTAGGGTCCCTATAACTCCCATATTAGGGTGTATAATCAGAACCTACAAAAAAGTGGGTTTTGGGTTTCTTAAGGTAGGGCTTAGGGGCATCTCAAAAGCTTGTCCAATATCGAAACCTGAACAACTAGTTTAGTGCTCCTTTTTCTTATCCTGGGATTTTCGTAAAATACATCCCCAAACCCTATACGAAGCTCCAGTTCTAAATAAGGCCCTATAATCCTAAACCCTAAACCCTAAGCCCTGAACCCCAAACCCTAAACCCTAAACCCTAAACTATAAGAGTACTGAAAAGAGCCGCGGGGCCAATGATGAAAACCGCAACGCACACCACGATGGCGAGGATGCCGATCTTGGCACCCAGC